GTCGGAGTCGGAGTCGGAGTAGGAGTAGTAGTAGTAGTAGTAGTAGTAGTACTCACTCACTCGGTCGCCGCACCATCCGTCCGGTGCGTAGCGGGGACAGGCTCGCCAGCCCGGCAGCTATCTGCTGCGCCAGCTGTTGTGGCTCCACATAAGTTCATAAAAGGACTGAAGACAAAGCCTGCAAAGAGTCTCTCAGTCAATCCAGCTCGTTCAAGCTGCTCGAGCAATTCGCATTGCAACGTAATGTCTCACTGTCGTCACGTGCTCCCTCAGACCCGGAGCTAAGCACCTCAATCAGGAGTGATGTACTCGGATAGACCTCAACGTCTGCATTCATCAAGCCTTGGCTATTTACATCACCCTGTACACAGCTATGCACAAGACTCGGTGTCACAGCACTTGAGGACTGTCCAGAAATGCCCCCTGGGGGGCCCTCTGATCCAGTCCCAGTAGTCGCCCCATCGCCGGTACAGCCCGGATGCATAGCCGCTGTGCTTGCTGTAGCTCCAGACGTAGTCGGCTCCCATTCCCAACGTGCATCTTGCCAGGAGGAGCAGGTAGCAAAGCCTGGATTGTAAGTGCCCAGCAAGCCTTCCTGAGCATCTGGTCCGCAAGACGCCACGGCTTCGCTGCTGGTCTGGCGTGCCCCAGAATCGCGGTCCCTTCCGCGAAACATGGGACCCGCAGCCGTCCGCTGGTCCCTTCCAGGAGACGGCACCCTTGTCCGCCGGCACCGCCGCGTATGGAAATTGCCCATGGTAGGACCGCATGTGGAACAACACGTTGAGTGAAAACCAAAGGCAAGTAGCTGGCATCCGGCGGTCTCGCAAATCCTGACTCTTCTAAGTTCCCCTGGTCCAAGGAGCTGGCGCCTGACAGCATCACACCTTCTTGTGTGGCTGCTTCCACTGCCCAAGCGACAGGCACGGCAGCAGTGACGATGTCGTCCAGCCGGAAAAGCGCGCTGGCAGCGCCGGGTAGCGCATATAGCTAGCATAGGCCTCGGAGGGGTAAGCAAAGGTGCAGGGGTACCATTGCCGGGCTGCGCAGCATCCGCGGAGGCCATTGCAGCAGTGACCTGGGTACTCAAGCATCAGCACACAAGACCATTGCATGTCCCGTCTCCGCAACAGCCTACCACATGCGGGCAGTCAAGTTAGCCGCGCTTTGACATACGGCTCTTTTGCAATGACGCTCGCTCGTGGTGGTTCACTAGCGCACACCACACTGGCACTCTTTGCCCCAGAGTGCTACGCGACGATGTCCGACTCAGCGGACTGGGCAGCTTAAGCCTAGAAACCGAAGGGGAGAAGAGGAGTGGGGAAAAGGACGAAGCACACAACCGAAAAGAACACACCAGGGACCTATCAAGAGCCCTAGCACGGTGGAAGGAATCCGAGTTTAACGAGGTATTCCCTGGCCCCCTTTAGCAGCATATCATGACAGCGAATGGTGTAGGCGATGAGCGTGATCCTAGTGCCCGACCACTGACATGTGGCATGACACTGCTTTGCCCCTGAAAAGAGCAGACCACATGCGCTGGTAGGGTGAAGCTCACCTGCCACCATAGAGCTTTCGACAAGCTGGTAGTGGCGACCGCCAGGTTGCTCAATCCAAACTTCTCCAGAATCATGATGCGTAAGACCCATCAACAGACTAGGCACCCCCTCGCAGTTCCCTTTGTCGTAGTGGGGAGTGGTGTGGCTATTGTAGGTGAGCACAAGCGTAGTCCAACAGTGCTGCGCCGAGACAGCGCGCACCGCCGCATTGAGCAGTGTGCATACCGCCTGATGACAGGTCGTGTGCTTGTGGATGCCCAACAAGCCGCCCTTGTTGAAGGCACCGAAGGCAATCATGCGCCCATTGCCATGTGGTCGCCGGTCGTCACGAAACGGCAGTAAAGTTGCAACCTGTCTGATCGCTGTCCAAAGAGCACCAGAGCCTTCCAGAAGATGTGCCTCAGCACATGCCTCGGCAGGCGTGCTGGACTCAGTTGCAGCCCTCGGCAGAGGTGGAAACGTCACCCGAGTTTCGCCCTGGAGATGATGTGCCAGCTCGTCAGCATAGCGCAGAAAAACAGGCAAAGCAGCATCGCTCAGCAAGTCCTGGGCGATCGCCACGATGTCATTCCGGGCTGCAAGAGCCAGGTTCGGCGGGCACGTCACTGTACCCTCTGCCGGCAGAAGTGCACGAAACGCATGGATCAGAAGATGCTCCTCTAGGGCTACCAGATACATATGGCGTGGCAGCTCTAAGCTAACGGCCATAATGAGACACCGGGAACTACCAACAGTGCAGCTGGAGTGGCAGGTGCTTGCGTCAAGACAGCAGTGAAAAGTGATGGCACCGTCCCAGCCGACCGGAACACACAGAGCACATGCAGTAAGCGCCGGACGAGGCGCGCAGCCGGGAGACACGAAGCTATTGCAATGCTGTGGCCCAAAACAACGTGACTGTGCAAGAGCTGGAAGTTGAGAGCTCACAAAACGCGAATTCGATAGGTGTGGGACCGCATGCCAACATATGCAGCACTCTTTTGCACGGTTGTGTCCGAAAAGAGATGCCGCAGTCTGTGCATCGGCCGCGGAGGTCATTAACCCTGGAGGCCAGGAATTAGGGGGACCCCGAATCAATCCTATGAGGTAGCTATCCTTCCTAATGGAGTGAAGATCAACCTCATTAGCAGGCCTCGGGGCAACACGGTCATTGCAAACATGGAACTCCCAGTCAGCTGCAGGTCCCTCGCTCCCCGGCACACCAAGCACAGCTTGATAATGACCTGCAGTGGTGGTATCACCATGATGTATGATGGTATATGCCACATAGAAGGCCTGATGACTGGTACTAATCCCCTCAGGACCATCAAAGACGGGGACCGCGATGGTCTGTCCTGGCGCAAAGCTGATGGAGCGTCTGTTCTTCTGCGGGAGTTCAGCTTCAGCTTCTGAGTGGTAGCGTTTGAGCTGCAGTACGATAACCCCTTGGTGACCGACCAACGCATGTGGTGCATGTTGCGCAGCCCAACCATCAACAACTGATTGCAAGTCGTCTCCTGCCAAGTCCATTGGCAGCGGCGAAGCGAGCCCACCAGCATCCACTACCTGCATCGGGTTAGCAAGGCGTGACTGCCAGCAGCCACGGTATGCTGAGGGGGCGCTACGCGCAAGCAGATGTTGCATGAATTCAGCAGCATCGTGCTGTTGTGTTATGTGACGCCATCCCCGTACTAATGGAACCCAAGGCAGGCAACCGGGAAGGAAAGGACTACCAGGCTTTGCAACGAGTCTGATGGCTGCCTCTGCTGCACCATAGCAGAGCCGTGGTTGGCCAGTGAGGGCACCGATCCACTGAAAAGCCTGCGCGCAAGAATTGATGTAACAGACATTGTGCGGATTCTTCAATTTGGCTTTCGGGATGCAAGGGGCATCACACGCCAGTGACACAGCACGCTCTGCCACAACAGTATAAGGCCTGCGGGAGCAAAGATGTCCTCCTCTATCGCCCACCGCGCCGGTTCCGACGCGGCTTCCAGTCCGTCCATGACGTGGCTTCCTCGACTGCCTCCGCCATCGGGCCTTTGCGGAGTCGTTCGGGCCGTAGGCGCAAACCCGGGGGCTTCAAGACGCCGTTGTGCGAAAGCGTGGTCAGGGCGGTGAAGCAATCCTGGGCCTGCTGCCCCCGAAGGGACACTGATACCAGGAACGGAACAACTTCGCTCTCCGGCTCCTCCATCTCCTTGGCTGCCCGAAAGCGCAGGAGCACCAACGGGTTGCAAGCCGTCTTGAGCAGCGCATCCACGCAGTGAAGGACCTGGTCGTGGGTGAGCGGGGCTTGTTCCGATATCACCTGGGACTTGGTGGCTGCATCCCATCGGTAGTACGGCCATACAGGATTGAGCGCTGTAGCGCCCTGCTGAAGCCAGCCCACCGCCATGAGGCGGTCCATCTGCTCCTGGTTCTGCAACATCAAGTCCTGGAGGCGTGCCTGGAGTTGTTGCATCATCCCGACAAACAGCATGATCCGCAACGATGTTGTCACGGTGCCCGCACTGAAAGCTTCTTGCCAGTTGGCAGCTGTTTGCTGCAAGACCGGCAGTACACTGTGATCGCCCTCCACGTCGATGAACATCATGAAGTTCGAGTCTGGTCTGACGCGGGAGAGCTCGTCTTCGTGCCGCAAGGCCATCTTCGTGAGGGCCTTGAGAAGCGTCGTGGTCTGCCGGTCCAGACCGGAGTTCTGCGCTTGCTGGTCCTTCTCCCACTCCTTGGACCACGAGTCCCACCAGTTGCCTTTGCCGGGGTGTCCCTTCACCGCGGCTTCGGCCACTTTGACTGCCTCGAGTCCAGTGCTGCTTCGGCAGCTGCCTCCTTCGGCGTCGCCATGGAATTCGAGGCCAGCGGGATCATGGGAATGCCTCCTGACCCCCAAACCTGATTGATCTCCGCCATTGCCGCCGCTCGCTGAGAGTCCTCTTCCTGCATGCTGGAGAACCTGGCGCGCAAGAGCAGCTTGGAAGAGAGCCGGACAGTGCTTGACATGTGTCCGCGGGGCCTTGTAGGAGTGGGCACAGTAGTGGCAGGGCGAGGAGTGCACAAACCCAGCTTCAGAGCAGAGCGCCGCAGCATCAGCTTTGTGGGGCCAATATTCGGGGTGAGTCAACCTAACATGCTGCTTGACACTGGGTCCAGTCATCGCTAACCATTGCCCGCAGAACACACAGTGGGTCTGCAATGACTGTTTGTACTGAGGCGTTGCGAAGACAGTACGCCAGCTGTTGGAAAGCCGGGATCTTCAAAGAGCGGCGTGAGTCTGCCAGGCTGCTCAGCAGCAGCTGGTTGCTCCGATGACACCGGTTGCGGAGACGGGGCAGGTGGGGAAGCGCCCTTCGGCTCCCCGCTCCCCGTGGGTCCCTTCTCCACTGGGGAGCATGCTCCCGTCTCAGCAGTGCAGAGTGTCGGCCGTGTCCCAAACAGAACAGGACAACAACCCTGAAGGTGCTTCTTAAGCGCCTCAACACGCGTGAACAAAGCCGAACAATGCCTGCACTGCGGCATGCCGTCAACAGCATGTGACATGAGTTCCCTAGCCGCTAGCATGGCCGGTCTTGGTTGATGGCCGTGCCTTTTTGACTGGTATGCAAGTCACGCATAGTACCAAAGTACTGGCCACAAGTCGGACAGGCAAACCAATGTTTTACGTGGATTTCAGTGAGGACTCCATTGCATGGCATGTTTGGGGCTTGCATGCGAAGAAGTGTCGCAAGCGTGGCTTGCATGGCACACACAGCGTCGACATCACTACTACGACTCACCCTGCGGCGGAGCAAGCTTGCCAGAGCGTCTGTGGGCCCCGGAACTCGGAGGCGTCGGCGGAGCACGCCATTACTTTCGTGCGTCAGGCGTCAGGTGCACAGGACTGCGCGCGATTCCCCGAAGAAATTTGATATCGGCAACCTCTAAAGTCTGCAAAACCCTTTCGTTGATGCCGATAGCATGTATTCCATATAACATGGTACTGCGTACACAAGCAAGATAAAGGGCGAGCCTACGTTGCAATGTCAGCTGCCTGCTATGTAGGAATCGCAGCAATCGAGTGCGCTGCATGCGCGCAATCTGCAGGCGATGACGGCATGTCTGCAGTTCCATGGCCCCAAAAGAGATAACCGTTCCTAGATATTGAAAGGAGGTAGCCACCGGTATGATGAGCGGGTTGACCGGTGTGCCGAGCTGGACACGCCGCCTGCCCTGTGAGTACACCACATGTGCTCGAATCCAGCGCTTGGCATAACTACCCTTCAGTCCTAGAACAATAGTGGATTTAAGGGGGTTGGCACACATACCGCATTCCTTCAGCAGACCGAAAGTGGCACGCAAAGATCTACAAATAAAATCAAGGTCTGCCGGGCTGTGGACCTCCCATCCAAGGTGGGAGTCATCCGCAAACCAAGTCACAAATTTGGAGACCCATTCCTCCGATGTGCGTTGCTTTAGTTCGGTGAGAAACCAGCAGGTAAAGAGGCTAAAAAGCATAGGGCTAATTGCACAACCCTGTCTGACTCCACATTGAAGCGGGAAGGAGCCCTGACAATGTCCGTGGGTGACAGTGTACTGGCACTGGTTATGGATCTCCAAAAGCAGGCGCTGCAAAGACGGAGGCACTTGCGCAAACTCAAGCGTGCGCAGCAGGCAAGGCCGGTCCAACGTATCAAATGCACGACTCAGGTCAACGCCGACCATGATTCCACCGTAGCAGGCACTAGGCTGACGTCCAGCCCTGCGCGCAGGCACGCTATGCACGCCGGATTGCAGCCGTCCGCGCACGGCCTTGCAGAACTGAGCAACACGACTGATGCCCTCATCTATGGCTTTGCCCTTGCAATAAGCATACTGTGGATTGGCATCTAAGATAGCACCAACGTACGTCGCCAGTTGATCCCGGACAATGCGAGCTACAACCTTGGAGGTGGGGTCCTGGATACCTAAAGGTCTAAGGTCACCCGGCAACTTAGAGGTTTTCCCTGGTTTAGGGAGCAGGACTAGACTACAGTCCGTGATCTCGCCTGGCAACCGCGAGCGCTCAGTCGCAACGCCTTCCTCGTATGACCGAGCAACGCAGTCAGCAAAAATATCCGGACACGCCTGCCAAACTTCCACGGGCAGACTAGTGCTGGGTACAGCCTTACGGGGTTTGAGGTCACTTATGGCAGTAAGGATCTCACCTTGTGTGAGCACAGGGGCATCACAGGTCCCAGAAAACCCAACCATACTAGGGTGACTAAAAACCTTACTGAAGTACCCGTGGATGGCATCGAATTGCTCTGCTGGACTGAGCGTGCTGCCGTTGGCGCTTCGGATGCAGACCTTCTCCCTACGCTGTTTGGGGGCTAATTGCCTACAGACATGGTAAATCTCAGTCATCTGATCCTTGCCAGCAGCCGCGGCAGCACGGTCTATGAGGGCATGCGCTCGCTGCTTTCTGTAGGAGAGGCTGGCGCACCTAACCCTACGGCAGAGAACCCGAAATTGATTGATTCGCCTGATAGCCTCAAAAACCCGACGCTTGAGATTAACATGCCTGGGTGCATTACGCATTCGATGATACGCTCTCCACATGTCAGCAATAGCCGTGGCCACCTCTGCCGACTGGTATGCATGTGTTTTAGCACGTCGCCTGGCGGGGAAAAACCTCTTACACAGTGGAAGCACAAGCCGGTTCAGTGCTGCAACCGTCAGAGGTGCAGATTGTGCCTGCACCAATGCTCGCGCTTGCTGCGCAAAGTTCTGCCAGTGCTCAGACCCTACAGTCGCGGCAGCTCTAAGGTCCTGAACTGAATATGCCGGGCCCCCGCTACCCTTGGCACGTGCTCGAAGCTGCCAACAACCCTGTATTGCAATGCTCGCACGAACCGGCCTATGCCGCGGTCCTAACCTCCACGGCGTGAGGTCCCAGTGCCAAAGGTCCAGCGCATCTTGCCTGTCGATCGACAAGGGATCTGCGGGTTAGGACAAAGTCAATCTGGGTTTTGACGTCACCATTGAGGTAGGTGGCGCAGTGCTGCGCTCGCGCACGACCCCAGCTGTTCAAGATACAGAGGTCATAAGTCTGAATCATGTGCACAAAATCCAAGTCTTCCGTGCGAGCCTGGAAGAGCGTGCCTGAGCCAATGTGTCCACCCTGCTGCCGACACGACGTGTTAAAATCACCAGCAATGGCCAGAACGTTCCTCGTGGGAAGTGTTCCCATGAGCCTGTTGAGCTGTGATCACAGTGCAGTACGATGTTGTGTGCTTTTCCCGGAGGAGCCATCGCTAAGCACCCACTGGTAGACAGCAATGACATCAACCGGCACCGTGTATCCAGAAATTCTAACATGGAGGATGCGTCCAGGAGCCCAAATACTGTAGGTAATATTATCCGAGGAAGCCCATTTAGAAGATATACACACACAGACCCCACGTAACGTGAGGACGGATCTGCACTGGTCAGGAAATGCCACTGCCCAACTGTCCACTGTCCTTCTGTGCGTCCTAACCCCCGATGGGTTTCTTGAACCACCACAATGTCTGCAACGTTCTGCTCATGCAACCAAGTGACGAAGATGTCATAGAGATCTGCACTCATTCCCCCGACATTGTATGTAACTACCCTCAGTCGCGGAGCTCGCCCCTGCAGCGTCGGCACCCTGCGCTCGGAGGCAGCATGTGGACTTTGTGTCGTCGTTCCAGCAGACTGCGCCCCCAAGGAGCACGCACTCCTCCATTGCCCTCTGTACCACGTACCACCATGCTCGGCTGCGCGTGTCCGCGCCCGCCTGAATGCTCGTTTACGCGCCCGGCTGTAAGTGAAACCAAAAGAATTTCCGGCAGTTTTCGCTCCTGGAACAGGAGCTCCCAAGGCGGTTCCGGTACCCGCCTCAACCCTCAGGTCTGTAGGATCAGCTCGTCTATTGTCGTCAAAATGCATTTCACGATCCCACCGCAGGACTTGGGACCTGCGCGGCTTGTCGTCCCTCACGATATATGGGCCAGCGCTTGCAGTCAAAAGAAAAGCAAACAGAGACCAGAAACAGCGCGTCATGACACAGGGAGGCCCTATGCGCTAGCCAAGCTTCAAGCCGAGACCCTTAGTAGTAGTAGTAGTAGTAGTAGTAGTAGCAGAAGAGAAGAAGTAGTAGTCGTAGTCGTAGTCGTAGTCGTAGTCGTGGTGGTGGTAGTAGTGGTATTGTTTGTTTATGATGACAATGCTAACAATCGTCAACAAATAACAATCAGGACCCTGAAGAATCCCAGGATACATG